CTTCTTGATACAAATATGTTTAAGTTTTTGTCATTTATGCAAAAATAAAAAAAACTGAGCACCACATAAATGATATGTACAGGATGTCTAAAATATAACATAAGAGTACAGTTTGTATATCTATGTAACTGATTTCTTTAAAATTATTTCATTATTGATAAAAAATAGTTTTTAATTCAATTAACACCAAGCTTCAATTATATTAATAAAATTTTCTATGATTTGTACTTCATTAGGTAATATAACGAGCAACATGAAGTTATTTAAAGCATTAAATTGAGTATTTAATAAATTTATGGCTAAACAAGTTTTTCTTTTATGCATAGTGTGTAAGATCAAACAATTAAGATCAATCAGCACGCACGAAAGTCACAACACCGAGATAATGTGGTTCAACTTCCACAAGCTACGTATCAAGGCAAGAGTAAAAACTTCACTAAAGCACAAGTGTATACATTAGGCCTCATAAAAGTAGGCATTCTATTTTTAGATGCTAATTAATTGATTTTGCCTCAGTGGCAAAAGTAAGTCACAATAATTTGCAGCTGCAGCCGCCGCAGCAACTGCGGCGAGCGCAAAAAACAACCGAGCAGACAGACGACAACAAGCTACGGCACAGTTTGTTGTCGTCAACAGTACTCGTCGGCATCGTCGAGGGTTTATGAGCATACAGACGTCTTTCCAGGGAATGCATGCCGTTGAGTTTGGCCTCGCATCCGTGAAAAAGTTTCTTGATGGAACAATTACAACCGTAAGATGTCTATTCTGCGTTCACTTTGGGCAAGAAAAACGGGACGGTCCAGGTGTGAAGCGTCAACGAACACAAAACGTGCAACTCTTTCAGTTTACATTTTGATAAAAAAATTACAAAAGTCATCTGGAAAAGCAACACCCAAATGACTGGAGCCAATACAAAAAATTGTCCCAACCCGACAAAGAAGCGTTTTTCAAGAAGAAGGAGAGGTTCGGCATTCATCTTTTCCTTGACAGGAATCAGATTGTCTGCAATTTGCAATATTGCGACTTGAAGTTGTTAACAATGTCATTGGAAATCTGTTATTCTATCCGGATAAAGACGAGGAATCCGACGATGTCGTTTCTATAACGAAGTCAAACGCGATGAAATGATTTCATCTGTAGCAAGACATTTCATTCCTTGTCACCATCAAGAATAGTGTGCGTTTCAATCTGTCCATTCAACATGTATCGGCAGGCTTGTCATTTTGTCAAACTGCCACAGTGATGACGCAACATCAAAATGAGTGCAAGAGTCCAAGTTGGTTAGCCTAAGCAATCACATGGTCGGTCAATTTGTTCGCGTCCTCATCGCCGTTGCCTTTCAAACGATTTCAAATGTCATCAATGATCTGTGGATTTGGGCCATTTGGCTAGCGACTGATGCCAGTAGTCACTTTGGTGTTACTCTTCTCGACCCACGGGTTCGCGTTTGCGTTCGTGGCATTCTTTACAACCTGCATATTGTACTGGTTCCGTTTTTTGAACGACACACGGCGGTGAACTACGTCAAGCTGATCAAAGTTGTATTGGATAGCTTCTCTTCCATTTGGCGTGATAAGGTCATTTCCATCGCGTAGGACGGCGAGAACACTATGACCGGACGACACTAAGGCTTCGTGACACTGAGGCGAGTGCTCAAATCCGGTTCTTCGCATGTGGTGCGTCCCTCATCAATTGGACATTGTTGTCAAGAACACTACCAATGGCATCCTCAATGAAAGGTTTTACAAGACTGCTCACACCTTCTCAGTGCATCTGTGCGACCAGCAAAACTTGATTACGGATATGAGCTCAAAATGCTCAAAGGATACGACGCGCTATATTGCATTCGACCGCATGTTGAGTTGGCTCCTTCAACACTGTCGCCAAATGATGGAGCATTTTGCTGACAAGCGACTTGTGTAGGCACCGTTTGATCAATGATGGATCATCACAGCAGCAGTGTCGCCCCTGTTTGATCGCACTCAAATTTTGTTTACCGTCATCTAGTCTTCCAACCTGGTCATTTTTCAGCAACGCCAAGAGATCTCAAATTTGATGGCAAAATTGATGGCTAGCCTTGAAATTTGCCACGCTCGCAACAATGAAATCAATGGGATCGACCCAACCACCATTCATTTACAAGGCTCACTATTTGTCTATAAATCCTTGCATCAAATCGCTACATTCGTTATGTTTTTCATCGAGGAGGGCATGCAGATCCAGGCGGAGCGTGATTCCGACAATAACATGAGAGAGTTGAAGGCTCCCCTAATCATGCCTGCGGATTTTGTGAAGCTTCGACCCGCATCATTCATCGCAAAAGTTGTGGATATTTGTCGTGGTCATCTTAGCAAGCATTGGGATCAAGATGCCATCGATCACGTAGAACGCGATCATTGCGACCTTCTCATTTTGTATGGGCGAGAGCCCAATGTGAAAACTGCGTTGGATTCGCATAATGAGAAAAGAATGTTCTATATCACATGGGATGTTTTCAAAGTACATTTCCAAGATTTGCGTCAATTCTACGGTGGATTGGCGACCGCGTTCCCTAACGACGGTGAAGTAGGAAGCAATTTCTTCATCGTGAAATGAGAAATTGACAGCACCCGCCAATCACTCACAAGTTGCGGGTGATGTTTGCGGGTATAATGCATGCAAAACAGTTCAAATTGCTTAAGCAAATTGCGAGGATGATAAACCAATAATTGAGAATGGTATCGGATACCGACCTAAACGTTTTTTAGCAATGAAATCAATAAAAAAAAAGACTAAATGTTGAAAGTGCCAAAATTAATGCGCTGAAATTGCCCAAATTAGTTTATTTTTGGCAAAATATGCATCTGCCTATTCTTATGAGGCCTGGTATCCAAGCTCTCCTTCTTCATGCTCACTCTCAAAGTGCAACTCTAATTTGTGCTTAGTGAATGGCTCATGTTTTCTTCTATCCAAGATGAGATAAGATGCATATCTTAGCTAACCTAACCACAATTAACTTTTCTAGCCATAATTATTGCTAAATGTAGTTAATCCAAGAGAGAGTTAATCTAACATAGTGATTTTATAACTCGTCTTTATTATGAAATCTGGATTGAGTGAATAGGTTTGTTGCTTGAATCAAAAAACTCAAAAAACTTGGAAAATATAGTGAACGTTTATAACATGCCATCTTACACTTAGCTATTCAAGGTAAGCGTGAACTGGAGTTTATTTGAAGTGAATTTGGATAAGTTTGAAGTGACGCAGTGACACCATCTTATTCAAATTAATCCATGAGAACATGAACTGAAAATTTCAATATTCAAAATAGTTTATATACATTCCAGGGGTTCATGCTCTCTCTACACGAAGAAAAAGTGATAGTTTTGATAATATTACTTTAACATATATTTGCCAGAAGTTTATATCAGCCTGAGAAGACAAAGGAGTACAGGCTTCTATATTATGCTAGAAACGACCTATACAGAATGAATGATTACTTATTACAAAGAATTTATATAGGAAATGAAAATAATATAAAGAACAAAACACCATACAAATCCTCAAATAAGTTTGACTCCGGAAATTTGCAAGATGGAGAATGTTTTTCTCACTGAATTGAGAGTGGATCACAGCAAAGTAAGTGAAGAATGCTTTGAGACGTAAGAGATATTCAACAGGTTGGAGGCACTCTAGGCTAATTTAAATCATGTCGGATGTTCAGAATCCCAACTAAGTTTTTACTGCAATTCAAATAAGCAATACGTTCTTATATCAGGCCATTGAATTGGGTGGTGATGATTTTCTAAATGAGATCGTGGAAATATAAGACCTCCGAATGATTGTAGTAAATGGAAGACCGATGGATGATACAAAAGCTAAAAATAGGGTTAATCCATAGTAAGATCGTATGAGAAGTAAAAGATATGGCATCTAATATATCGAAACAATAACGTTCAAATTGGCTAGCAATCATATGTACATGCGAAGAACCATTAATACAGTGAATACATTCATATAAATATAACATCTATGTAGAGTAATGAAAATATGTTTAAGACTGTAGAGACTATATATCGGAAAGATAGTTATATCGTTCAGTAGGCTCTCAAACAATCTCTTTAAATTACTTACTCTGCGACACCCTGGACCCTCCCCGCCAGGTATGTCTGTAGCGCCGCATGAAAATATTTTTGGCATTTAAATGGGTAAACGTGTTATTACTGGTAGAGCATTCAGAGGAGTAAATCCAAAATGTAAAAAGATTGAAATCTGTGTAAAGATCAGTTGGATTAATTCCTGGGCTTGGGCGCGCCTCTCCCTTAGCTCCGCCACTGGCTAGCCCTATAGTACCCGTTTGTTTTATCCATGTACGACTAGATAGGGTGTCTTGATACATTACTCACTGCCCATTGTTGGCATTATTGTGGTGGAGAAACATTTGTCAAATTCGAAGGGGCGAGATGGATTTGGCGAAGGCAAGCAAGGGGAGCCACATGGATTATCCGTAGCTAGAATTCACTCGATATACAATACAGGACTTTGTTGAAACTACTAAAATCCTTGAATTGTTAATGAGTGCACTTTTCTCATAAGAACCTTCTCTCGCGTTACTTTCGCAAGAAATTACCTTGCAATTGTTCTTACCATGTTGACTAAAAAGTGGAAAGCGGAATATTTTGAAAATAGAACGAGATAGGAAATCATTGCTCAGCCGATGCTTGGATTCCAAATCCTTGTAACCTTCACATTGTATTCAAGAAAGAACGGATGAACGGATTTTGAATATTTGGAAATCTCGAAATATGCATTTGCCCTTTGTTTGGATCCAGCGATCGTTGTTATAATTCAAATGACACGCTTGGGCTGCCTTTCGTCATTTTACAAGGTAGCTGTAGAGGCGTGTGCCACTGTACGAAGAGCTGGGGGACCCTTTAGTAACGGGAATCGGCCCGCGGCTGGACGCTGGAGTAACGTAAGAAGAAAAGAGAGAAGGGAGAAGTTGTCGCTTCTGGAATCTCGTCGTATGTAGAAAGGACCCGCTCGCTCACTCTTACTCATCCTGTAGTTGCCATTGTTGCCGCTCTCGGTCGCTCTCGCTCTCCTTGCCTCTCTTGCTCGCCCGCTCGCTGGAGCTTTGGCTCAGCGTTCGTTTGTTCGTTGCGTTCACTTCCTCCCTCATTCCGGCTGTCGATCTCTCTACCTCGTTTTTATCATATCTTCGGTGGAAAAGGTTGGCTATATTTGTCGTTGTCGTGTCCAGGTGTTAGTGTGTGCGTCTGTATCTGTGACTTGGGTTGGCCTCGGTTTTTCGGGTGGGGTGCGAGTGCGGTGGCAATTGTGTCGTGATGCATGGTTGCGGGTCGTTCATTTGACCAATTACTTTAGGCGAGGAGCAGGATTGCAGTGGTTTTGGCAGTGGGATGAGGATGAGAGGGCTGACTTGTGTATATTTTCCTTCGTGAGAGAAGGCTGGTTGGGTTAATTTTTTTCGGGCGTGCCTCGATTTTCACGGTGTGTTTGCCGTTATCGTTGGCAGCTAGGTCAGGAGAAGCGGAAATTGAACGTACAAACCTTGCATCTGCGGTTCAACGATTTTTGTCGCTCTGGTGGGAAAGGTACTGTGCTTCGTTTGCTCCATGTTGTGCTCTCGTGTGTGTTTGTTGTTGCTTACGTTTTCTTGTGCTCCTTGTCTTCCGGTCTGCATTGTTATGAGGAGTTCAATGGCTAAGGAAGAAAGTTGGAAGAGAGGATGGACCATTCCATTTCACCAAGAAAGTCGAAGAAGTGTCTTGATGTTTTCCTTCCGGTGCGGATTTGCTCCATCGGGTGTACGGAGCGTCAGTTGACCAGACTGGTGCGAAATTGGTTTACTTAGTTGGGAAGTACAGTGGACGGAACTGAAGATTCATTGGGGATTAATCTGTTGGCCAGTACGAAGCTCTGGGGTTGTTTACACTGGCCAATTGCTCGAGCCTTTCCTTCCTGTTGATTGGTTTTGCGTGGTCTGGTCGCTCATTCACAAACGTGGGTTTTGAACATATTTAGGTCACATGGAGTGCGATTGTGTCTGCCCTTCCACCGTCTGGGTTCGCCGTATGCATTTTGAGTGTGACCATATAGTTTTTGTAACCTAAAGGATGTAGGTCCTTGGTTTAATTAGCTGTCCCTGTGTAGCTGATAGACTTCAATCCACCGAAACACGCGTAAGGTGGGCACCATATATATATTGCTTATCGGACACCCCTTTGCCATCTTGTGGGCTTGCTAGTCGAAAGGTTCTCATGCAGAGCTATGACGGGAACTTTCGTTCTTAGAGTATGTAAATTTCTTTGTAATTTTTGAATTGCCTATCAAATCGTTTGCATTGTTGTTACAGGCAACATGTCGAAAGAAACGAAAGTAAAGCTGAAGTCTTCAGATGATGAAATGTTTGAAGTCGACGAAGCTGTCGCCTATGAGAGTCAGACGGTGAAGAACATGATTGAAGATACAGGAACGGAGAACGCAATCCCTTTGCCTAACGTTTCGAGCAAGATTTTGTCAAAGGTCATCGAGTACTGCAAGTACCATGTGGATACTGCTAAGAGCAGTGATGATAAACCTGTCACACCTGAGGACGAAATCAAGGTTTGGGATGCAGACTTTGTGAAAGTTGATCAGGCAACACTTTTCGACCTTATTCTGGTGAGTCTTCTCACTGTCGTGGTCTAGGGTCTCGTACTCATTATATCTAATTGCCTACCTCTTTCGAAGATGTTATTGATCTAAGTATTGAATCGAAGGGAATCTATTACTTGGAAAGAAGAGCAAGTAAAATAGGATGAGACCGAGTGGAGTTTTCTTTCTGGATAGTTGGAGTTGAGTCCCTGTATGAATTAACGTTTTTGTCTATCGAAGAATGTTCAACGCCTTAATAAACAGTATTAACTTCAAGCCATATATTCTTGATCTGGTGGTTACTGGATGAACATAAAGATTTCAATATTTTCAAAGTGTTCGGCTCGCCTCGTCAGATTATCACGTTTTGTGAATAGATCTTATTTAGATTTTGAAGCCATTTTATTATATTCAGCTAACATCAGACGATCGAGAACGGAACGCTGGCCTCTCTGGTTCTTTATCTGAAATGATGCATCTTTAGAGTATGTCATGTCATGGATGGTTCTGCCCTGTAGACGTAGACCGAGAGGTTGATATGAATCACCGCACCCACTGGATCAACCAACAAAAAATTCCTCACTTTTAATGAAGGCGGTTTAGCCTCCTCAGTCTGCAATCAAATTGTCCGAAGTATCGGAACCAGATTTAAGTTCAATTGCCTGTACAGCCGGACAACATACAAACCTAGTATTCTTCGTTCTTCCTTTTTGTCTCGGACCATGCAGTCTAGGTCTGTGGTCTCTATGTTTCAAGAGACACAGCTCCTTACTGTGGTTGTTTGTGTCGGAAGCTTTTCTCGCTACTGTTCAAATCGCTCGATGTTCTCTAAACATATGTAGCTAGACGCACTTCTCATTTAATGTTCAACAACTACAGTCTTAAGAGTGATGTGCAAGGTTTATGGTATTAGAGCCGAACACGAGAGCCATGTTCACTTGTTGCTTCTTTGTTAGTTTCCTGGTCGTATATACCCTGGCGGAACGGGAATTCTGCATCATCGCACACATTAGACCTAGAAGAATAGAAGAGGCCCTTCTTATTCATACTGCGCTTTGGTCACTAGAACTTGGGAAATAGCCTTTTTTACAATCTCTACAACTGGATGAGCTACGTCTGGGCATAACACTGACGCTGTGTTGATCTCGCAGGCTGCTAATTACCTCAACATAAAAAATCTACTGGATTTGACGTGTCAAACCGTCGCGGACATGATCAAAGGCAAGACGCCCGAGGAGATCCGGAAGACTTTCAACATAAAGAACGACTTCACTCCGGAAGAGGAGGAGGAAGTGAGGCGGGAGAACCAGTGGGCTTTCGAATGACATGCACTATATCTTTTCAAGTTGGTGAATTTTGAGTCTACGCGGACTTTAAACGATAAAAACCGATTTGCTGTGCGTGCATTACCCGGGTCATGTTTGAAATGATGAAGAGCGCTTTTCTGAATCAGAGGTTAAAAGATCTGCCTCGTTCTTGTCCCCATGTGGATGTTGGTAACGTGATCCACTCAAAAGTGGTGGAATAGGAATGGACTATTTCACATGGATGTTTTGCATTGTCTTCATTCGCGCAAGCCGTCTGGAGGTATGTCAAGCGTCATCTTCAGCGTTTCTGTAGGTGCTTCCTACGTTTCCCTCACGAACTATTTTCTTAGGATTTATTTTCCTTTTTCGGGATTCGTTGAGCCGGCTAGGTCAAAACATTTACCGATTCTCGTCATCAGACCAAGTTCTTTTGTATTTATACTTGTTCAGATAAATAAAGATCTAAGTTTTCTGTATCATTGGGTTGCGCCGCTGTCCACGTAACCATTTCATTGGGGTGGAGATTAGTTACTCATTTTCTTGTATGCTTTCATTAGCCTTGGTCTCGCGAAGACATGGACACATCGTTATGTCTAATGATTAGCTCAAGTTGATCCTACACATTTGTGAGTTCTGTCGTTTATGTAGTTCTTTGTACTTCATAGTCCCATCACTTTACGTTTTTCATTTTTTATTCTTTAGGGGTGACATTGATGCATCCATGTCTCGTGTTTTTCTCAATGCCCTTGTCTGGCAAAAAATGGACGTACTACTTTGGTGAAATTCGTGACCTAACGATTCTGTACCTTTTATTAATTTGAAAATAGAGATAGTTGTATACTACACTGAAGTCATGGACCTCTAGATACCAACCTTCTACTCAGCTCAAACTATTCGGACTGCCAAACGGAAAGTTTTGTGAATATTGTGTTATGGACAATTATCCTGAAGAAGATTTTCATGTTTGGAACTCACAATTGCAAAGAATTATGTGATTGTGTGAAAATGGATTTCAAAAACATCACTCTTTGAAAAATTGCAAAATTGTACTATGAATCTTTTATTGATAATTCAGGATTTTTCAACGTTTGTGTTTGCTTACTTTCTCACATTTAACTCAAATATCGTTATTACTTTTTGAGTTGAAACGTACATACCAAGACTCACAATGGACGATATTTATTTACAAATAACGTTTAGGGTGTAGGGTAAACTTGTTTAGGGTCGAGAGTAAACTTTTTATTAGTTTTGAAGTTATTATAAAGAGAACAAAATTATTTATCATTTGATCACAATTTATACTTCGTAACAGGATTTTTTTAATGATTTAATTAAATAAAATTATACAATGTGTTCGGTTGTTGAACCATCCATATTTATTATATTAATTTTGGGTTGAAATTATTAAAATATATTATATTATAAAATTTTCTACTTCTAATATAAATAATGTTTTTACATAGTTTTCAAAAAAATTGATTATAGTCATTTGAGAATTTTTACTTATTTAATTTATATTTTCACTAGGAGAAAATGTATGACCAATTTTTTTTTACATCAAGAAATTGTTTGTTTTTTTTTTACAATTGTGAAAAATTTTTAGACTATAAGATTTATTAAACTTGAAATGATATGGTTAGTAATAACTACTCTTTTTGATGAACTTAAAATATTAGAAAAATATTTAAGTATATAAATAATATATTTCAATTATCATTGATAGATATCATGTAAATTTGGTTTTTATTAGAAATTTAAGGTGATTCATTTATTCTTGAAGATCTTAAAATTATATTGATTTTAGGAAAAGAATAATATTAGTGTTATAGAGAAATTCAAACTTTTATCAATAACTTTGAGTGAAATGTTGCTATATAAAGCGAGAAATGTAATTACTAATAGATAACAATATGTGAAAGTTATTGAAATTTTTAAATAATCAATCTTTAATTGATTGCAAATGGATGTACAAATTTAAAACAAAATCAATATATTATTATAAAAAAATTTCAAAATCAGATTGATTGTTAAAAAATTTACACAAGAAAAAAATTTAAAATATATATTTTTTTCACTTATAATAAAAAATGTTACAATCTGACAAATATGTGCACTTGTTGCATTATTTAGTTTAATTATGAATCATATGTACTTAGTTATAATATATTTCTGTGTATCTTTGAAAAAAATAAGTACACAAGATAATCAGATGATTTTAAAAAGAAAAATTCAATATAAATTGATTTGTAAATTGTTGAAATTATTATATGAATTGATTCAAATTCATATGGAGTGAAAATCAGGATTTGATGAATTCATGACAACACAAGGATTTTTATCTAATGTGTATGATTCATGTGCATGCACTAAAAAGATGAATAATGATATTTTCAATTTTATTATTCTGGTTTTTTTATATTAATAATATGTTCATTTTGGAAAAAAATTGACGTGAACAGAAGAAAGATTCAATATGAAAATCTATGTTTAAGATGAAAGATACACGTATGTCCAAGGGTATATGAAGTATGGACTTTTATAAGAAATTGGGAAAAAAATCTTGATATACATCCACGTGTACACTAACATTTTATTGAAAAAATCCTTAAATGTTATCAAGAGCTTTCGTGTAGTTTCATTTTAACTAACTTGAATTATAAAATTTGAAATAAAGTTGCAACATCAAGTGATAACAAAAGAAAACATTTTGTTGTACATGTTTATCATTAAGATGAAATTTAACCATGATATTATGAATCTTCATTATGATAGTCCAAATGTTCAACTTCTAATTGTGAATCAAACAATAAACATAGAAAATATTTACATGTCATATTATATTATCAATAATCAATTTATATTATATGATCTGAGTGTAGTGATTTTAGTGTATATACACCCAACACACACTCACATAGTGGCATTTTTGCGTGGGTGTGTGTTGGGTGTATATACACTAAAATCAATATCACCATATTATATTATCAATTTTATATGTGTTTTCCTTATATAAGCTTTATCTAATTGTTAAATAAGTAAAAATTGATAATACACTTAATTTTTTAATGTTTTTGAAAACTTGATAATTTGATAGCTTTTTTCAAAATAATGTGTCATATTTCATAATTATAAATTAGACTAAAAACTACTTCAAATTTACATATATAGATTTATTCTTTCAATTTTTAGTTACAACACTAGTTTATTACATAACTATCTTAGATTTTAATCTAGATTTTCTATTGGAATAATTGTATAAGTAATATAGATTCCATGTCAAAATCAAAATTGTTGAAACATTTGAATTTTGTTTCACATCAAAACTAGTGTTGGAGCACTAGTCTTTATGAAGTCTAAATATCTTTTATCATTATCAATTGATATATCAACATTTATGCTTCTTTAAATAACTCATAATTTTTTTCCATGACAAAAAATTAGAAAGGTGTGGACGAACTATATATGTTTTATCAAAAAAAGCAAGTTCACACTTAAAATAAATTTTTTATATAAATTTTTTTTAAATGATTATGTTGAAAAAACTTTTTATAGATTGAATATTGATGAGAAAATAGCTTGTGTATGGCGATTTTTTATTCTTTTATATTTTTTTATGTTAATAATATTATTGTAACATAATAATATTATTGTTAATAATATTTTATTTATAATATTATTATTTAAAATTATTTAATAAAAAATTCTATTTGATATTTACCTTAAAATTTAAAATAAAAATATGTTAAAAATTATTTTTCTAAAAATTGAAATTTTTATTAAATCAGAATAATAAATAAAAAATTTAATAATTATTATTATTTTAAATGATTTAAAGTATTTTGAATTTAAACATGTCTATAATTTTTATTATTAAAATCATAACACTTCTAAATAATAATCAATAAAAAATATTTTGAAGCAGATAATCAACATGTTTAGATTTCTAGTTGCATATTTTAAATTATGATTATTTACAAATATTATGATTTATATGTAGATTTCATATCTCATACAAATTACTTTTTTCAAAATTTACTTTTCATACATAGTTTGTATAAAAATTGAGCTTTGTGAAATTGATCCATTTCACAAACATCGTAAGTATATGATGCTGTTGTATAAAATAATGAATAGCTATTATGTTGATGAATTTGAAATCATCATTTCAAAAAAATAAAATTTTTTATCACTTGATATGAAAATAGGTAATATTTTTAATACTATAGCTAGCTAAATTTGACTAAGAGTTTTCATTTGTTGGTAAAATTTTATAAAAAAAATTAATTAATTTTTTTCATAAAGCATAAATTTGATTGTATTGCATATTCTTAAACGTAAAACTAAGCGTCATCCAAGTCAAGCACAAACACAAGAGACATTCATATAACGTGGTTCACCCTCGGGGGCTACGTCCACGGCTGCAGCGCATGAGAGAATTTATTGACAGCTGAAATACTGAATGCACACCTGAGTAGAAGTCTTGGGGATATATTTATACCCTAAAGCCATCGACACACCTAGCTATAAATAGCTATAACCTGAGGTTACTCCTTAACCGGAGTTTACCTTAACAATCTCCCCCTTAACTTGTGTTAAGGATACAATAACCTCTGTAACATATATTGTTACTCAGCGCGAATTTCTAGACAGAAACCTAACACAAACCCCCTCTTTACACGAGAGTTAACTAGAATTAGACCGTAACCATAACAAGATAGAGTAATAACATAACGAGGTAAATGGAAAACCTGCTTACATAGAACAATCAGAGATCTCGTAGTTTATATAATTTACTCCGCAAGTTCTAGAGAGAAACTTAATACAAGCTACCTCTTTACACAAGAGTTAACTAAAGCTAAACCGTAGCCATCACAAGATAGAGTAAATATATAAAGAGATAACTAAAGTTACTATTTTAGCAAATTCTACATGTGCTCGCCATGCACAACCTGCATGGTAGCACAATGTCGTCTGAAACTCTCCAAAGGAATAACTTTAGTCAAAGCATCAGCCGGATTGAGTTTACCATTGATCTTCACTAGCTCAATCGTTTTATCATACACTGCTTGTTTGATAAAATGATACTTGATATCGATGTGCTTCACTCTGCTATCCACGACTTGGTTCGCAGCCAAATGTAAAACACTCTGGCTATCCCAATGAAGATTAACCACGCCCTGCTTCAATCCCATTTCTATGATAAGCCTATCCAACCAAATAGCTTCCTTTGATGCTTCTGCAACTGCCACATATTCAGCTTCTGTTATTGACTGAGCTACGCATTTCTGCAAGGTAGACCTCCAACTAATGCTTCCACCGCCAAGTGTAAACACATACCCAGTTGTGGATCTCCTTTTATCTAGATCTTGTCCGCAGTCAACATCAACGTAACCAAACAAGGATTTGGCATTGTCTAATAGACCATCAAACAGTAAGCCATAATCCAAAATACTCTTCAAATGTTTCATAATCCATTTC